GGGGCGAGATGTGAGAGGGAATGACAACTAAAAGAAATGGGGTGGTTGATATGCTATTAATAGGGAGTATATTAATTACAATTATGGTAGTTAATGAAATGCTTGAAATAAATTATAAATAAAATATGAAGTTTGGTGGCAATGATGTAAAAACATAGAAATACTACAACCTCTTATATCCTACTAGTCATTTAAACTTGAAATTGGGTTTTACACATAGATTTATAGAGTGATGGGTATATGTTTAGGAAATAGAAAATGTAGGGATCTATATTGGACAAGCTCTTATGACAAATATGAGAACTTCTGTCAAGAAAATGGGAAAGTTCGTATTGTGTTCCAAAAAAAGAAGATAATGCTTTCCTCGTTGTTTATTGATGTTGTTTAGTCACAATCTAATACGCGTGTTAAACAATAATTAAAATGAAAAATAAATGCACTTTTGAAAAAGAAAAAAAAAATGTTAGTTTATGGTTGAGTCACATTAATTAATAAATAACGTACGTGGTCCAGGAAAGATACATGGTCCAAGGAAGAGCTGATGTTTATCTAAAAATTAAAAAAACCTCAATTTCAAGGCTGGTTAATTATTTGCTTGGGATTGGGACTTCTTCAAGTTGTATGTATAAATTGATGAAACATCAACGTTGTCTGCTCCATCTAGCTGTTGTCATTAATAATTATTCCAACGGGTCTAGTTCAGAGATAAAATACAAAGTCAAGCCAGAAGCATTCACATTCTACAGTTCAACACTGGTAACAAATCAAGAGGCTACAGTTCTTCCACATACCCCAAAGAAAAGCCACCTACGATTGTAATATGTAGTAATGAAGTTCACAGATTTTTCTTCCACAAGATAAACAATCATATAAATTCCTAAAGTCGAGATCACAGTTTTCGTCCATGAAAATAATGATAAAAGTTTCTTTCACGTGCTTAAAATCAAAAAGGTAAACGTGTGGTACGTGATAGTTTTGCATATTGGAAGAGATGGGCTTGCCTTCAAATATGACCATTTCTGTACAAATGGTGCCATGCACAAACCCCTAATCCCTGCAAACTTTTTTTATTTTTCTAATCTAAACAACGAAAATGGGGATTTGAATTCAGATGCAGAGTAGGAATTCGCTTTAGCCAACTTAACTAAGCCAATATCTGCCGCCCTCGTAAACTTTATATAATAGAAAACTATAACTATATACTTGATTTCATTTCATATGGATGAGAAACAACGGTGGATTTAGCTATGAGCTAGAGTAGTGCTAAATTTGGTGATGAAAAAAATTGTATTAACCTATATCTAATGGGTTTTTTAATATTAGTAAGTTTTTCTCTTAATTTTTGTTTAATTTCGAATTTCAATTGTTATTGTTAGCTTTTCATGATTTAGGGTTTGGGTGTTAAATTTTGGATTTTATTGATGACTTGTCTGTTTTTTGGTTTAATCTATTTACTTGATCTCTGCTTTTATATAGTTTAGTTGTCTCTTGGTTTTGTTAAAGCTTGTGATTGTGCAATTGTAGATCTATATGACTGCACTCCCTATACTATTTGTACTCCCATAAAATTTAAAAATTATTAATTAAAGAATTGTTGCTACCACTCATTTCCTTTGCATATAAAAAAAATAAAAACCTATAGCCTATAGTCAATTAACCATGTAAACCTGTTATGGATTTCCTATAATAAAAAATTAGCCCACCCCTAAAAAGTTTCATGGGTCTACTTTGATGACAAATCTTCTGCTCCAAACTTTGTCTGATAAGAGTACAAATAGAAATTCGATTTTTCACAAACAAAGCATAAAATTACATACTAATTATCTTATAAAACATAAAGAATTATTAAAATAAGATTGAGACACGACTCTAATTTGAGTATAAACACCATATCAACATATAAATCGTATACGCAAAATCCTTCATTTGGTGGTCAATTATAATATATAAGCGCTGTGCAGAGGGCAAATTTGAACATGTGTTTGAGTTTAAGGATATTAATATGGGTTAGGCAGCTTAATTTCCTTTGATAATTAACAACATTGCATTCCGCAATTGGGCTTTGGTTTTCCTCACCATCATTCTAAGATATTTAACAATATTGATATTGTCCCTTTTCTCCTTGACCATATCTACTCGAAAAACCTTACTTATCAACGGCTACCTTCCATTCAAAACACGTTTACCGTCCACGGTCCATACCAACTAGCCAACTAGTCATTGAACTTTCCGAATTCCATGCAAGGACTGACTCTGTCTCTCTCTCTCTCCCCACAAACACACCAAAGGAAAATGAGTTCTCTCAACTGGTAGGACTCAGTTATTAGAAACCACATGTGCTCTGTCAATTGTAGCCCTCATATATAATCACACCACCTCAGCCATTACGATGGCAGCTAATAAGCACGAGCTACTTCCTAAATTCGATCGAATGTTTTTTGTTTTCGAACAAGATTTACAACAGCCAGGATATAAGGAGCATTTGCAGGGGATTTAGGAGGAACAGAGATATTGTTGGAGAAGAAGGCAGGGGATTTGATTTGTTATTTGGCTTCTCTCAGAGTTCAGAAACATGGGACTTGCCAGCAACATAGGGAAGTACCAGCTCGGGCGGACGATTGGAGAAGGTACTTTTGCCAAGGTTAAGCTGGCACTGGACAGTACCAATGGCAAGTATGTTGCCATCAAGATCCTGAATAAGCATATGGTCATGGAAAGCAATCTCAAGAATCAGGCAAAACTCAAAATCAACCTTTTGATTTGATTTGTCCGTCTGTTTGTTTTCTTGGACAAAAAGAAAAACTGAACAAACTTGGTGTCCCCAAATTTCAGGTACAGAGAGAAATTAGAACCATGAAGCTTCTAAACCACTCCAACATTGTGCGGATACATGAGGTATATATCTTTAGCAGTTACCAAAGTTTGGTATATACAAATTTTGAGTTCAATGAATTTAGAGATTTTGTTTCGAATTTCGATTATAGGTGATTGGTACAAAGACCAAAATTTACATAGTAATGGAATATGTATCTGGAGGTCAACTCTCAGACAAGATGGTGAGACTCATCTACCCTTCATCTCTGATCCAACGAGAATTTTTTGGGTAGCTAGCTTTTTCATGTGTATGGTAATTTGAATTTCTTTTGTTTTGTTTTTAAAAAAAAAAAAAAAGATGTATGCCAAAAGATTTAGTGAAGGAGAGGCAAGAAAGCTTTTTCAGCAATTGATTGATGCAGTGGACTACTGTCACAACAAAGGGGTATATCACAGAGATCTAAAGGTGAGCAAAAACTAAAACACAACCATACGCATCATTTTGCGAAAATTCTAGACAGGGGAGGTCCAGGAACTGACAAGGACTATGGCATATTATACAGCCAGAAAACTTGCTTTTGTGCGGTAAGGGGAGCCTGAAGATATCCGATTTTGGACTAAGTGCATTGCGTAAGGTAGAGACAATTTTGCAAATTCCTTATGTTCTTGAGCCATTATTTATTTACAAGTCCTAAAATCTGTCAATAAAAATTGGTGCTTCGCTGAAATTCTGATGATCAACAGCCTGGTGACCTGTTGTCAACAAAATGTGGATCTCCAAGTTATGTTGCTCCTGAGGTATGTAGTAAATCGAATTACGTTTTGTGAAGTTGTGCATAGAAAGAAAAATTATCAGCTCAAAATGACTAACCATTGTAATGTACAAAATTCATACCTGAATTTCACTTCGTTATGTGGTTGATCGCTTTCATTATTCATGAACAGCTGCTTGTCAATAAGGTCTACGACGGAGCAGCTGCAGATGTTTGGTCTTGTGGAGTGATTCTTTTCGAATTACTTGCTGGTGATCTGCCATTTGATGACGCTAGCTTGATGAGTTTATATAGAAAGGTATACTTCAAAAGCATCCAATAAGCAAATCCCCATTTCGAATACAAACAAATTACCTGTATCTAAAACTTCTGCCCATGGATAGATTTGCAGAGCCGATTTCACATTTCCACAATGGTTTACAGAAAGCCAAAAGAAGCTGATCTCCAGAATACTTGATCCAAATCCTGAAACGGTATAGTTCTGCCACATTTGTTCGACGCTTTAAAGCATTTTTCGTTGAATAATGCAACATTTACCGTGTTGACTGATCATATCTTTCATAGAATACATTGTCTGATATGCTTCCTTTATCAAAGCAGAGAATAACAATACCAAAGATCATGGAAAATGAATGGTTTCAAAAGGATTATGTGCCTTCATGTGGAAACAATAGTGACGATAAAATACACTTAGATGATGTCAATGCTGCTTTTGATTCAACTGAGGTAAGCTCCACCATAATTGCACTACAGAGGAAATGCTATAATCACACTTTTAATACCAAATGTCATATTTGTGTTAATGTTGTTATTTGTTCCTAGCAGGAGAATGACATGGAGACAAAAATCCCAAAATCCGCAAGTTTTATAAATGCATTCCAATTGATAGCCATGTCAAATGATCTCGATTTGTCAGGTCTTTTCGAGGAAGAGGCAAGTCTGCAATGAAAAGAAATAGATTTGCTATAATATCTATCCTGCTTTTTTTTTTCCTTTTTTTTTTTTGGGCGTATAATGAATATTGTTGAACTGCAATCTTAGTTTAGGATGAAAACAAGCAGAAAACAAGGATTGGATCCAAGCTTACGATTAATGAAACCATAAAGAAAATAGAAGCTGCTGCAATGGATGTGAGCCTTACGGTAGAAAGAACGAAAAACTTAAGGGTACAGGAAACTTATATTATTGCTTTCTTTTTCTTTCCTGTTTTCACAGTTCCTGCAAACTAATGATTTCTTTTCATCAGATGAAAATGCATGCAAAGCAGATTATGAATAGATGCTCTAGATCATATGTTGACATATCAGCAGAGGTGAGTAATTGTCATACATTTGTCTGACTCATATGATATGAATGAAGGATTTTAATTTCAATCTTTTGTATGCTGACGAACTCGAGTGGAAACTGGCAGGTGATTGAAGTTGCTCCGACTAATTGCGTCGTAGAAATATCAAGATCTGCAGGGGAGCTCGGAACATACAGAGAAGTATAATGACCATATCCATGAGCTGGTTTTTGCATTTATAATTAAAAAAAATTGTTTACTTACTCAGATAACATTATGTTGAAAATGTTCAGTTCTGTAAGAGTTTATCAAGTCAGCTGAGAGAGGAACCTGCTGTTTCATCACAAATGCAAGAGTCTGATGTGGTCAGCATTCAAAGCCAAAGTATCCCCAAAAAAGAAAGGTATTATTCTGCAATGATCACTACAAGTATATAGCATAGATTGCTGCAGCTGGCTGACAAACTATTTTTCAATCATTATATGCAGCTCTGAGAAGACAAATTCCAGAAAAATTAAAGACCACCGTGGCTATTCATCGTCTTGAGTAGCTTCTTCTTTATTTTTTTGTTTTTTGTTTTCTCAAGACCAAGTTACTGTAAATGCAGATTAATAAGAACCATAAAAAATAAGCCTGATTTCTGGAAAGCTTTTTTGCTTGCTGGCCGGAAGAAAAGAAGAGCAGAACATTTTGATTGCTTTCAATTCTATTGTGTATTAATTTTTATAATTTTTACCCCTTGTACTTCTCAGACAAAATATGTTACCTGAAGATGACAAGAAATAAAATTTACAGTCACCTTGATTTGTTGAAATCAGATTTATATATTTGTCCAAAGATAGATTCATATTCAAGCAAAAACAGCTTTCTTAAACGATCCAAAAGCACTATTCTCTACTTGTTTACAAAACACGTCACAATCCAAATGCACTATTTTCCTGCTGCGACGAAGGCAATTTTCGAAGATTTATAAGTTCTTGCCTTGATTTTTGATTTTTGATTTTTTTTCCAGAGCAGATTTGATTATTTATCTACAACGTGACTCCATATTCAAGCTCCAAATATACTTTCTTCAACAATCCAAATCAATATAGCTTAAACTAGTTCAGCATAACAGATCATATTTTAAAACCACTATACCCTGTTTTCTCCATTAACTAATTGACCTATTGTATCCCAAACTAATAAATTTATATCATAATCCAAAAAACAATGCAAATCTTAATACAAGCATGAAATTGAAGTGCCATGTTGGTGGTGGTGCATGTCAGGTATGGGGAATGCTGGTGGTGGTAGCAGTGGCAGCTGTAGATTGGTTCCGGTGGTGGTTGGTTTTAGTGTTGAAGGTGGCAGTTACGGTGGTGGTGGGGCCCTTTTGGGGTGGTCACAACAGCGTGTAGGTGGAAGGGTTGTGATGGTGGCATGGCATTACCAGTGGTGGAAGCAAAGGAAAGGTAGTGGCAACGGTGGAGCCAGCAGCAGAGATGAGCGATGGAGAGGGGGTGGCGCTAGTGGTGCCAACTGGTGAGGATGGTTGGTGCCGTCGCAGAGGGCAGTGGTGATGGCAGCCGTGGCATGCTTATGGTAGTGGTTGCAGTGGATGTCGTCTGTGCTTGTCATGGTGAATATGACTTCTTTAATTAAAAAAATTATCCTATTACATAGAACTCTTTTTTCCTCAGTTCGGTATAGTTTCTACTGCTGTAATTGGTTGGTTCTTAAGAAGGGTACTGGGACCATACAGCCTCAAGGCTTTCCAGTCACTGAGTTAATTCCTACTAACGTTAAGAGCATGATTATCTTCACAACTTCCTCAAATGTGGCCAAAATTTTTGTGCCAGACTAGACTGGATATATTCAATTAAAATGGACATGGGTACAGTCTGTTGTTTGGTGGGCTTAAAATACATTACAGACTGGACATGGCTCTTGGACACTAATCCAGAATAACAAGGGACTCCAAACCCATCGATAGACATGGGTTTACAATGAATCTGAGCGCCTCGTCTCCCCAGCCTCCTTCGCATCGTCTATACTCTGTTATCTAGTGGTTTGCCTTCTTCTCTCTTCTATCCTCTCTCTCCTCTCATCTCCACTCTCCCCTTGCATCGTCTGTACTGTTGCGATTTTTGCATCGAATTTTTTGTTTTTTCATATAAAAATTGATATTTATTATTATCTTGATATGAGATTGGGTAATGGTTAGATCTTGATATAAGTTTCAGTTTGGATTCGATGCCATGGGTTCTCTTTTCGGTTTGGTATTGTGAGATTTTTTGTTTTTTCCTTGTCTCAAAAACTGGGAATTGTTATTACTCTGAGGCTACAATGCATCAGAGATCCCTCTTGCATTCAATGTCTAATCCAGTCCATTGTTTGGTGCAAAAGTGAACTGCAATGGACTTAAAATCCCAGCCAATCCAATCCAGTACTTACATGTCAATCCTAACCAGTCCAAGCCAGCCTACCAAACGAGGCCCTCAAGTACAATAAGAATAACACAGCCAGTGCGCAAGGACTACTTTTTCTAATACAAAGTTTATCAAAGTTTCAAGGGCCAAGGAGATCAATTACAAATTACAAATTACAAATATAAATTGAAGGCTGAAATAATTCTTTAAGAGTACATTTTGGTTACACCGCAAGTTACGTAAATCAACTTATAAATGAAGTCCAGCACAAACTCAGACTCATCTATTCCTGGTTTCAATTTAATTACAAAAGGCCAGTATAAGGGTTTGATTACAAAATAAAGGTATTCATGCAGAAACTAACAACTTGGACATGGCTTGCAACAATAATGAGAGCTTACATACATCTCTGCATTTACATTTGACAAATATACATCACAGTATCTTCATAGGTGAAAATGTACATGACAAGCTTTAAAATTGATAAATTTAATAAAGCAGCAGCCTAATCCATTGTTGAATCACGTATTGGAAGAAATAAAAAATCAAACTTAAAGAAGACTTAGAGAAGGAAGTAATCTATCATATGGAAAACCACATCTGCACCATCAGAATTCAACCAGTAACTCTTCACCTGTATGGGCATGAGGGAGTAGATATATATAAGAAAAAGAAAACACACCACCAAATCTTCTCTATGACAATAAATTTGTTACTAGTATAGTTCATTAGGAACTTGGACAAGTTCTATGCCTTAAAAGGGGTTAAAATCTAGAAACTAACTTCTACCATATAGCAGTCTGCCTATATATTTGCTCAAAAGTTAAAATGCTTCCTTCAGTATTTTGTATAAAACAAAAAATTATCTGTGTACATGCCACCAATTAGTCATAGCCATAGAGCCAACCAAAACTTGCCTGAATGGTATTATGAGCAATATATCGTTGTCGACTTTTTTGAAAGCTGACATCCACACGTTCCCAAGGTATCTGAGTAAGGCCTCTAATCATCTCCTCTATACACAAGAAACGAAAAATACTATTTAAAACTGGAAGTAAACCAGAAAAGAATTTGAATATATAACATAAGACAACCTGAAATCATTGTAAGAAACAGTATCTGCCCTGAAGTCAATTATGAGGGAAAAAGAGAGAACATGTGTAACAGGCGGTAAAAAGCATGTTGGAAAGGAAAATTAGTATGTATCTGGCACTGCTGCACTCAGGCAACTCTGACTTCAGGTTTTGAAGTGTTGTTTAAGGACACATGAGTTATGTCATTCTCATGGCATATAAACCCCAAATACAGTAATACAGCAGAGCCTAGAACCAGGTGAATTGCGCAGACAGCTGACTCCTTTTCATCATCTGGCCTGGTCGACCCAATCATGATATTGAAGGATGGGACCTTTTCTCGAAAAACGAAATATTATAGTTATAAATGCTGAAGAGGTTGTAATTAGTTTCCCCTTCTGTGTCTCCAATGATGACCACTCCTATTTCTCTCCTTGTCCAAATAACCGTGATTCCAGTGTCTATTAACATGATAGTGTGCAGAATGCATGGTTCAACAAGAAGTATCTATGTACGTTAACACAATATAAAGACTACTACAGAATACACCACTGCTGTCCTACTTGCCCATCTGCTAATTGTTTTACCATTTCAAAAAAAATGGCCCGTGTCTCTGCAAAAGGCCCATTGCTAGGCACACAACTTAAACAGTTTTGTCCTTATTGGGTGGAAAGACATAAACTTAGGACCTAACCAGCCACACAATCTGGCCCAAAGCCCAGGTCCCTGAGTTATTCCGATAGTTAAACACAACCAAGCAGATAAAAAGTTTGACAAACCTTCCAAGTCTATTTTTTGGTCTTGAGCACATGAAGAGGCTTTCATATGAATATCATCAAATGTTTCTTGCTTGACATATACAATATGCGGATATCTCTCATTGGTTCCAAGTAGATTGGACTGCAAATAAGCAATGAAGAAAAAAGTACTGGAGTGAGTTTGGAACATAACCGATATATAAACTGAACAGGCATGACGTGGAGAGGGAAACAAGGAAGCCTTACCTTCGGAAGTTCATCTTGACGCCGGATTGAAGATGTTCTCCACCCAACCATATCTTAAAAATCAGTGAACTTAAACAAGACATTCATGGTTTTAAACATATAAACAATGTATGAGAGATATCAATATTTTCAAAGCAATATAAACCCGAAAAAGGATACGATCGTAATTTGCATTAGCATATGCCACACGGCGCTTAAATGCACGTAATGCTGATCTGCGCATGCCAGAGAAAAATATTGTATTACCATTGACAAAACTGATTATAATTGAATGTTTATGAAATCAATGAGCATTATGGACATAGTATTACTAACATGAATTTTAGGTCATCAGAGTCATTAACCATTCGAAGAAGAAGAGGAGGTCTGCCATCATCATCATCTGTTAGGAAGAGATGCTTCCCGGATCTCCCAGCAATAAAGTGTGCAGTTTGAGAAGCTCTTCTCTCAAGAAAAGGAAGACCACAGAGAAATGGGAGCTGTGGAAACAAAGTTAACAAAACAGAGTTAAAGTTCACAAAACAAATGTGATAATCAATTAGAAATAGAGGTGTATGATAACAGTGCACAAATTCTCTACATTTACTGAGAAGATTCTCTAATATAGAATAGAAGTAACAAATACATTAGGAAGCCTTCAACAACCAGCCACTTGTCAACACTACATATTTCAATGCTTATCTTATCAGTTGTCAAACCAAGCATATCCTTCAAATCCCAAAACGAATTACTAAAAATCAATAGTAAACAATTGAATGATAAATAAGAATGTAGAAACTTGAGAATGTAAATAGAATATAGAAAATAACTAAACATATAGAAAAAAGAAGGCTCTTTCTGTGTCTCTGTCCGTCTCTGACTCTCACTCTTCCACACACAAGCACACACAGACTCTCACACACACTATGAAAGGACAGCAGATTCCCTAGCCAACACCTTTGTTCTCCCTCTCTCTCTCCCTCTCCCTCTCTCTCCCTCTCTCTCTCACACACACGCACACACACACACACTATGAAAGGACAACAGATTTCTAGCAAACACCTTTGTGTGCATAAATGTTCAATTTTTGTTTATCCATAGCAAACACAACAATTACTTGATCTACCTGTTTATTTCCACTATGAAAGGACAACATCTTTCTAGCAAACACCTTTGTGTGCATAAATGTTCAATTTTTGTTTATCCATAGCAAACACATCAGTTATTTGATCTACCTGTTTATTTCCACTATGAAAGGACAAAAGATTTCTAGCAACCACCTTTGTGTGCATAAATGTTCAATTTGTGTTTATCCATAGCAAACACAACAGTTACTTGATCTACCTGTTTATTTCCCCTTGAACCAAGATGTGGTGTTGCGAACGTTATAAAGTTCATTGGTTCCAGTCCAGCAATTGTACCGTGGTGAGGCTGGTCAAGGGATTGTGTCAAATTATTTGTATGCCCTTCAATTAAGCAATTACCATTATGACCTGAGGGTTCAGATTTTGGACAACGTTCGTAGAGCCTCCCGATGGCATACCTTGCAACCAACCCTCCTAAAGAGTGAGCCACAAATGATATTTTCCGCACCTCAGACCTATTTCTGACAACAGCTAATACCTGCATCACATATTATTCTAGAATTCAAGATTTGAATAAAGTTCAAATAAAAACTTTCTAACATTGGTATTTGTCTTTGCAGTTTTCTTATATTGGTGAGTACTATACATGTCATTTTCATTAAAAAAAATAACCATTTGAGGATAGTTTCACAAACCAAGGGAGCTACGCTAAAACATGAGGACAAATATGCTATTTCCAAATACCTCTTCAGCTAGCCTTTCACCCATCATGTCAACACCATCAAATGTCATCATTGAAGAGTTACATTCACTGCCTGCAGGCAAAATACCAAGTCACAAAAATCATGAATTCTGGATAAGACTGATTCCTACACTAAATTTGCAGCAAAGGAGGAACTTGTGGAATTTGAATGTTTTGATTATTAACAGCTTTTATACCATATTACAGCATCAATAAACAGATATCAGATACAGAAGAGCATCGAGAATTATTATTATTATTATTTTCAAATGAAAGACAGAAGCCATCTTGCTTTAACTTTGCAAATTATTATCTCGCTTTAACTATCTCAAATCAAACTTTGTTCGGATTTCCTGGTTTATACAAGACTATAGATGGGCTAAAACATAACAAGGTTTAAGCAAGACAGATGTCATCTCAGCGAACAAATTCAAAATTCCTATCCCATCTTGAAACACCAAAGTGTCATCGAAAGGAGCCTCAAGCATTGTATTCAAATTATTTGATTTACTTTGTGTTGTAAATTTGTCTGTGTGAATGTTGGCTTGTTTAACTCGAAAGGTTCAACTCAACTACACCTTTGATATAGTTTCATAATTGGAGTAATTGGGAGTTGGGGGGATAGGGGTACTCTAAGATGAATTTTCAAGCATGGACAGTGGAGGCAGGGCCAAGTTGCAGATGGTGGATGGCCATGCCCAATTCATTGGGAGCCAAAGATAATTCATTTAATTGATTTCATCTTTGATTTATTAATGGAGAATGCTACTTATCCCAACTTACATGTCCCAAGAAAAGGTGCCACACCCTTGCTTAAAAAAGAGAACAATGTGTAAACTCTAAAGTGAGCATACCATGAGTGCTGGAAAGGAAACGTTGGGAATTAAAGTTGGGTTGTTTACCATTGTCCCTTATTTGACCTTCACTGACACGTTCAATTCGTATGAAAATTTAGTATAAGGTGGATGGAGGAAACTACTGCCAGATGTATCATGTAGTTCAGATTCAGAATAGACTTAGAAAGAGGGTTCTTAATCATATTTTTCATTCAGTTTTGCCTAGGATTTTAGTATACGCAGTCAAATCCAAACTTGACCTTCCACCAATTAAATAAATGTTTACAAATAGAAAAGAATCTAATATATTTAATTGCTTAGTATATTCGGTGCACATGTAGAGAGGAAATCATAAGTGACAAGAAGCACTCACGGTGCACAATTACTTTATCAGGAAGCTTGTTCACAAACTGTTCTGCAGCATATCTCCAGTCTGAAGCACTGAAATCACAGAAAAATTTCAAATGAGATGCAGCAAAAGCATGCTTAAAAAATGACAAACAGCATGATTAGTCAGGGAAGGACAACATAAGAATTTAGAATATTTACAAAGCTAAACTGGCATATCCGTGCTTCATAGAAATGAGCTAAACCAAGCCAAGTGATGGGGTGTTTAGGCTTGGCTCGACATAAATGTACTCGAGCTTAGCACAAGCTTGGCTTGAATATTTCTTTCCAAGGTTGAGCTTGGTTTGGTTTGTATGTGGGATGTGCCAAGCTTGAGCTTGTCTTGGCTTTGCTTGGACATAAGCAAAGGATGAGTCTTACCATGAGCCATCCGGCACTCAAGTCGAACTCAAGTGGCCTCGTTGTGATGAAATTTGAACTGCTCACAAGTTTTTCAAATCAAGCATATCAAAGTTAAAAGCTTGATTTGTATTTTTTTTAACAAGCTTAATATTTTGCTTGATTTTGGCTCGTCTCTTTCACAGAGTCGAGCTGCCAAAAAACAAGCAGAGCACAATACAAAACCGACGTTTCTCTTAGTCTACAGAATAAAGCATTGAAGGCAACCTTAATTATCTTTTAGATTGCTTCATTCCAATGAGGCATACCATTTCCAATTCTACTTTAACAATCACATATATAACTATAATTTTACACATATCACCACATATACTGAAAAAAAAAAAACAAGTACATTTTATCAACCCACAAATTATAATGGGAAAGGCGAACCTGCCGATGATTCCATTGACCATAATGACAAGATGTTCAGGCACAGCGCCGCCCTTGGGGTGGGAGGCGAAGACATCCTCGCCGCCGCTGTCGATCTCCACCTTAATCTCCCGGCGGCTGGGGTCCCTGAAGCAGCCTCCGCCGCCTATAATTCGGTTGAGCAACTCCATCCGGGTCGGGTTTACCCACCGCCTACGCTCAGAGGACCGAAACCCTAGGTTGCCGCTGCAGCAGAGGGCCTCGCAAGAGCGGTGCTTTCGGGTCGGGTTGGCAGCGTGGACCGTGGTTGCGGAATGGAGGGGAAAAATGGCCGCGATCATGTGTTTTAGAGAAAGAGAGAGATGAAAGGTGCTGTCAATGAAAAAGCGTTGAGTAAAGTATGAGCAGTGAAATGGAAGGTGCTGTCAATGAAAGCAGTGAACGAATGTAGGCGCGGAGATTACCGGTTTTTTCCTTTTTTGTTGGTATATTCAGAAATCAAATAAAAAATTATTTAATATTGATCCTTTTTCTATTTTTGTTTTGATTAAATCAGCTTTGCAAATGGTCTGTTCATATTGTGAAAGATCAATCCAGTAATATAAGCACGTGGTCTTGACACGTGGTATTATTTTTGGGCATTTCAGTCAATGATGACCCAGCTAAGCGCCTGCTCTGCTGCTGCAAGACTATCTGTTTGTTTGTTTGTTTTTTTGTTTTTTTGTTTTTTTTTTCTGTTTTTAATTTTTTAAAATTAAATCTTTTAGTTAATTTTTAAATTATTTTTTTAAGTTGATACACTAGTTTTAGGTGATTTACAAGTTAATTGTTGACGTGGAAAATGTAAACGCTCCACTTTATATGATAAATGTTTTCATTGTTTATAAGAAGATAACGCTTCGGAGAGAGAAATCGTAATTATCAAAAATGGGCTTCATAGAAATCGGCTTATGTCGAACCGGCTTTGTTTCATTTAAAAAGGGGCTTTGATTTAATAGTTAAAACTACTTTGTACCATAGCATTTTGATGGACACTACTCGCATTTTTAGTAAAAATGTTATGAAGGCTCTTTTGAATAGCATTTCAGAAGAAAAAAATGCCACTGACACTGGAGCAGAGGTTCCATTAACCACTGACATTGTTTGATTTTCATTAGAAGCTTGAAAATCATGTACACATTGTTTGTTATTTGCCATATGGTCTGTAGTGTGAGGACGATACAGTGCAAGCGCATTCCACGTACTTTTCATTTTTGCTAGATGCTCAATGAAGGATTTTCCATGGTGTGACATCCCAGCAATATCTTTTTGCAATTGAAAGACTCGAGCAGCATTATTTTGATGTCCATACATCTCCTTGATAGATTCCCATAGGTGAAAAGCAGATTCTGAAAAAACTGAAAATTTCTGCAATTTGAGGTTCTGTGGAATTCAAGATCCATGACATAACAAGTTGGTCTTTAGAAAGCCAATCCTTGTACTTTGGATCATCAACATTCGGAGCTGAAATTTTACCATTTATGTAACCCAGCTTTGACCTTCCTCCTGTTGTGCGCAGAAGCGTCAAGTGACAAATATGAGACCGATGACAAAATTCGAAAAGTCTGCCTCTTCTAATAGCTATTCAGTATGGATGTTAACTTGAGTGCTTTCAACAACATACTCACATCCATGATGGCTCCAGCAGCCTCGGTAAGGGTCGGCGATATGTCGAGCAAATCACGCTTGCGAAAGTATATGAGTTGATGAAATTCTTTCTCATTTTGCCATGGTTTCTCGAGAAGCAAACACACAGAGCACATACGAAATACAAGAAGAAGAAGAAAAAGAAGAAGAACAAAGCAAGAAATAGAGAGATGAAGATTACCACTGAAATTTCTATTCCGATTTCAAGAAACCATATAGGATTTTTGAGTTGCGAATAGCGAAACGATATATATATATATATATATATATATATATATCTTTAAAGAGTATAGCCGGGTGGCAATACTCTTTAAATATTTGAATTTATTATATGTAATGCGTAGAGCCGCTCAATATTCGAATTTATTATATTTAAAGAGTATAGCCAAACGGCTATACCCTTAAAAAATATTCGAATTTATTATACGTCATGAGTATAGCCGCCCGGCTATACGCTTTTAATACTCGAATTTATTACATTCAATAGTATAGCCGCTCGGCTATACTCTTTAATTTTTCCCCGGCCTCTCTTCTCCCAGATATATTTCTCGGAT